ACATGCATTAAATAATCTATTTGTCTGTGTGGCGAGTTGAGGGTCACCGATGGATGAAGTGACCTTTAGTTTTAACCTCACTCTGAAAATAAGGAGGAAGCTGGACGATAAATCAAACACCCTCATCAACACACACACACGCACACACTCACACACACTCACACACACACACACACACACTCACACACACACACACACTCACACACACACACACACACACACACCCACACACACGGACATGTCAGCTGTTTTAATTAGATATCGACCAGCAGCAGCGGAGCAGATGCAGTGTGGTGCTGCGGGCTGCTGTGGGTTTTGCTAACTGGCAGCAGAATCTGCAAGTCACTCTGTTCCATAGGAGCCGTATGTTTAATGCAAAAGGATTGTACCAACATTTGATTTGATTTATTTGGAACTAAAATATAATCCAGACATTTGAATTGAAAAAGCTTCATGGAAGCGAAACGTCTTCATACTTTGGAAAACAAAGACCAGTTTTTTTTTTTTTTTTACTTTTTTAACCTTTTTTGGAATTTAGAGCTTCATTGGTTTGGTTTTTTGCTGCCACTGGAGGCTTTGACTACTGTTAAAACTAGACTATCATGGACAGAGGAGGATTTAGTGCCATAAAAAAACAGGTTTTAAATTTTGAAGGTAAAATTCTGGCTGACTAAACCCAGAATTATCATTTAAAGTCCGAACTCTGAGATTAAAATTAGAAATCATTAGCCTGTTTTTGTTTTATTGAGTCGCTGTCTTTAATGACCTTAATCCTCCTCCATAGTTGTGGTTAAATAAGGTGGGTTTATAAATCGCTCTGATCTGCTTCAGAAACCTGACTGAGCATAAAGCATTTTAAAGTTCCAGTAGAGTTTGGCGGATTGGTGACGTTTGCTTCAGGAAGGGCTGAACAGAGATGCCTGCTTTCTGGATTCATCCAGAAATGATCATTTGACAGATTTAGAGAGAGCATCTCAGGTGGTGATCAGGTGACTTAATCACCAAATTCAACAAATAAACACGGCGTGTTTGAGAGAGGAGGAGTCATCAGCCTGCTGCGACTCTCTGTCATATATATTTATTTCTACCACAAGAAGTGGGCATTCACTAGGATATGCATTCAAAATACGTTAGCTGCATGTAAAGGATTAGATGTTATTAATTTCTATTATAGAATGGAGAGTATGTGCATATGCATTACATGAACAATATTTGAGGCAGCGATTTTTAATCATAGCGCACAACATTTCAAAGCAATAAAGAAAGAAAATATCCAGACTAAATATGAAAAATATGCAGATTTGAATAGTTAATCTTTTAATGATTTTATTTTTTGGTCTTTTAAGGTTTAAATTTAGCTTTGATTGTTCTGTAATGGATGAGATGAATAGAAACCACAGAGAAGCAGCATCTCTCTTCTACATCTTGTCTAAAGATCAGTGAGAAGCCCTGAAGTAAAGGCAGCAATGAAATAACGCTTCCTTTGACTTCTTGGTTTTCATGTTTAGAGATGGAAAACATCCTACAGGGCTCCTTGCTACTACCAACAATGTCTGTAAATCAGGAAAATCAAATGTCTGCTGGCAAACCTCTGATGACGTTTGATGCATGTGACCTTTAGCGTGATCACAGGAGATGGATGTTGGGTGTCGCCTCCATCATAGCTGAGCCTGCATGGGATACTGCAGAATAATGGTTTGACTGAAACGTTTAAAAACCAGATGGTTGGTTTTGGATGTTTCAGCTCAGTGTTCTGTTCTGGCTCAGATATGATGGATGGACCGTCTCCCCCCCCAAGGTTTCCAACCCTCCGTGAAGGGAGCAGCTGTCTGCAGGGGGGTTTGGACGCCTTTACAGTCATTTTCATCTAGAGGAGCACAGGAGGAGTTTCGGTCCACTCTTCTAAACTTTGCTTTAGTTATTTTAGATTTCTGCCAAGCGGTCCGGTTCCAGGTCCTGTGTCTGAACTGGTTGACCTCTGAGCCATCTAACTTTGAACACTTCTGCACGCAACTTTTTCCCGTTCATATTAAGAAAAGCCTTGAAATGAAAATGTTCTTTAGAGAGTGGCAGTGAGGGGATGTCCTTATATGGGCGTCATTCCTTTAACAGAGTGATGCTCTTCCTCCTCTGCAGGATCTCTGGCCGTGTCGGTCGCTGACATGACGGCTCCGGTGGTGGGATCATCCGGTGGAGTCTACGCCCTGGTCTCAGCACATTTGGCCAATGTAGTAATGGTGAGCTTCTATGCCCCCCCCCCCAGATGCCAGTTTGTCCCTGCAGAGATCAGCCCACTGCTCACAGGCTTCTATCTCAGAGGGTGAATAAATCCTTCAGTGAAACTCTGCATCTGATGACAGCACAGAGGGGCGGAGCTTGTAAAGGTTCAGTCTAGGCAATGAAAGTTTTCCTCTCATCCTGGGGGGGGGGTTAATATACTGCAGGGGGAACAGAGAAAGGGGGGGGAACCAAAGGAGGCTCTGATCCCTCCTACTGGATTGGCCAAGGAGGTCACCTGGGGGGGTTAAAGGTCATCAGGGGTCGTCAGAGTCAGGTGAGGGTGGGGGGTGAATCTTCTGGGTATTGATCCTATCAGTGCTTTGTAGGTTGGTGAAAGGTTCTGTCTAAGGAAACCTCCTCTGTTGGTTTCTCCTTAACCCCTCTGTCAAACCATCTGTCTTCCATGTCCAGAATCGGGACGTTATTGTCCTCAAAGAGCGTCCTTCAGGACATCCCTGAAGACCCACCGTTCTTCAGGGATGTCCTGATGTGTCCCTGTTCTCTGCTCCTCCCTCTGTTAGTGGTGGCAATGGTTTCTGCTCCTGTCTGGGGGGTTCTGATGACGCTCCAGTGGGTGGTGTCGGTCAGACGGAGGTACTGGTGGGTCTGTGGGTTTCCTGTAGACTTCTATGTTGAGTTTTCTGTCTTCCATGATGTGAGCCGTGCAGAACAGGAAGGCAAGGCTGACATCTTTCACATCTTCCTGGATGAACGGCATGTTTCTGTTCCCTGCTTTGATTGGATGATTGATCGATTGATTGATTGATTGATTGATTGATTGATTGATTGATTGATTGATTGATTGATTGACTGATTGATTGATTGATTGATTGATTGATTGATTGATTGATTGATTGATTGATTGATCTCACAGTGGAGAAACTTACTTGTTCCATCAACTCAAACAGTCAAAGGAGAAGGAGCCAAAGGAAGGAAAGGGTTCATGATGGGATATATATACATTATATGCAGAACGTCATCATAGGACAGCTTCCCTTCTTTTTTATAGTAGGATTATAATACAGGATTATTGCATAGGCTGTTTATATAGATGGATATTTATATATATAGGTATTGCACTGGGTTATTGATGTGGTCTGTGAACGTATTGATATCCTTGGTCTTTATTTTGACTCATGTGTCATCCACATATCCACATATTGGAACCATTGACTGGTTTTGTTTCCATGTATGACTGTAGAGCTCTGCTTTCCACTTCCTCCATCTAACGTTCGCCACTATGGCAGAGAGGAGATTCCATCCATGCTCCTGCCTGTAGAAATCTAGTTGAATTGGAAGCATGCGGTGGTGAGGCGCAAGTCCAAGAGGGAACAGATGAGGTTAGATTGGTCAGATTGGTCCTATCTGGCAGAGGATGGTCTTGAAGTAAACGCATCCTCACTGTGGAGACGGCGTCTTGGGTGAGGATGCAAGTAGAAAGAGCTGTGAGGTCATAGGAGACCATGGTCTCATCCGAGTCCAGCGTCAGGTCCTTTATTCCGTTAGAGAAGCCCTGTGAGTTAGCAATGTGCTAAAGGAGCGAGGATGGAGGCCAGACGTTTGGCAGTGACTGAGTTAATGCTGCTGCTAATGGGCCTGAGAGGAGCTGCTTCCTTTGGAGCCGGTAGAAATGTTGCCCGTCGATGGTTTTGTCCTTTTCTAACTGCTGAGCTGCTCCACATCACTAGTTAGAACTGAAGAAGCCTCCTGGATGAGACGTCTTCTAGAAAACATAGTGTCCGGTTGCCTAGACTGAACTTTTTTAAGCTTGAACATGACCTGGATGATTCAGAGGACCAAAGCTCCTCAAACCATTTCAGAATTGACCTGAATTAAGACTAAGGGAACAATTTAATGACAGGATGTGAGTGAATTTCTTTATTTTTCCCTTTTCTGTCTCTTATTCTTTATTTTCCCAGAACTGGTCAGGAATGAAGTGTCAGTTCAAGTTATTCCGAATGGCCATGGCTCTGGTCTGCAGTAAGTTCAACTTAACCCGCCTCTTTTATGATAATAAGACAAATTATCCTTTAAACAGCCGACATCACTGTACAACAAACCTAAACAACAATATGAAAAACAAGACAGGCAGTCAGTGAAGGTCTGCGGCGTTCATCAGATGAGTCTTTATTTAAAGTTCTACGATTAACAAGAGGATAGAATTCTCAATCAGTCACTAAATAGAGACGCTTAAATGGACAGTACTCACACCCTCCCCCACTAGTTTCTTTCCTGTCTCTATGGCCACATTCAGTTCATCCAGATCAGATTCCTCTGAAAGCCGGTGTGCCTCAGGTCCCTGTCCTGGGGCCCCTACTCTTTATCGTCTACCCCTCGCTAACAAACTTCGTATCCATTTTCATTATTATGCAGATGACGCCCAGCTATATTTATCTTTTCTTTGCTCACCTCTGATGTGCTTTTAGTTTTAATCAAAGTTATGCTTTTCTACCTCCTTCCCCCTGACCAACAAACCTTCGCCTTTTAGTGGCAGTATGACCAGCTCACTGACCTCACGACCCGCATCAAACGACTCGGCAGGCGACCCAGGTTAAAGTCGCCTTCAAATGACTCGGCTCTGATCGACATGCTGTGGGAACATCAGGTTGACCCGCTAAATTACGTGATACCATTGAACGCATCGTACGGACGTCGACACACGGCGCCACTCGCCTCTGATCTAAGAAGCAGAATCAACTCTGTTTGCATTGGATAAACATGGAGCAGCTGTGGAGAGACGGAGTCAGATAATAGAGAGAAACAATAAAGCACACTGACTACGCCCTGGCTTCCTGACATGATGCTCTCCATTGTTTACTTTCCTGATTTCTGTCGCACTGGTGACATCATCAGCGCTAACCCAGCGTGTTGATGTCACCAGACACACAGTGGTTGAGAGACAGAGGCCACGGAGCCGCCAGCAGGGGGGGGGGCAGACTGGCTTTGTTTAAAATGAACGGAGCCAAATGCTGATTGTTATCAGAGAAACGAATTATTCTCCCTTCAGGCTTTAAAAACATTTCTTTAGGTGGATTAATATGAAGTTTATTTTGTTTCAAATCTATTTGTGCATTGTAAGTGTGAATTTGAAGTTGTAGAATGAGACACAGTCTAAGTTTTGTATTTGTAGAAGTAAAAAGAAAAAAATCACAACTATAAATTTGTTTAGCAAGCGTTCAAATTTTAAGTTCAAGTAAACAAATTCTGTCCTACAGGTTGAACATCAAAAACCTGTCGGCCAGCGACCAATCAGGCGTCTGCTTATAGAATGTCTACGGACTGTCCGAGCAGGCAGCGTCCCCTGCTGTCCGATCAAGGGTACTACATGAAAATGAAGGAGTAACTCGTAAAGTTGAATTTGTGCCTCAGCAGCAGATTGGTGCAGTTTTATTCATGGATTTATTTTTTTATTTTTTTATTTTTAATACTCGTGTTTGAATTAGTTTTGCACCATTTGTTTTAGATCAACTGGAGCAAAACTGAATGAAGAGATTTTTGATGTTCAACTAACAAAACATAATCTGTGTTTTTTATACTTCAGAATTTAAAGAGGTATAACTTAAAAAAAACAAACACCAAATTTATATTTGGATCAAAACTGAGAGATTTTTGATGTTCAACCTGTAGAACAGAATTTGTTTACTTGCACTTAAAATTTGAACACTTGCAAAACTAATTTATAGTTGTGATTTTTTTTTTCTTCTACAAATACAACCTTAGACTGTAAGTCGTTCTGATGTTAATAAAATGTTTCTGTGAGCTGAAGCTCCTCTTCTGTCAGACGTTGTATTTTAACCTGCTGACCGTTTCTGTCCGCCTGCAGTGAGCGTAGAGTTTGGCCGCGCTGTGTGGCTGCGGTTCTACCCTCCAGCCTTGCCCTCCTGCCCCAACCCCAGCTTTGTAGCTCACTTGGGGGGGGTCCTGGTGGGCCTGACCCTGGGGGTGGTGGTCCTGCAGAACTACGAGCAGCGGCTTCAGGAGCAGTCCCTGTTCTGGATATTTTTCTGCGTCTACACCTTGTTTGTGCTCTGTGCCGTCTTCTGGAACGTTTTTGCCTACAGCCTGCTGGACGTGCGGATCCCGCCGGCGCCGTGAGCTGTCATTAAAGATGGCCGCCGGCTGGATGGTTCACCTGAGCCTCATCTGTTGGTGTGAGACGTCCCACAGCCTGCTACCAGTTCCACTAACGCTAGCCTTAGCATTGAAGCTGCACTCCACCTGCTCCTGGTCTGTCTGCTGGCTGTTTCTGGGACTCTGGACGATGCAACATCAGCAAAGAAGAAGCCGCTGATTTAACAGCATTGCTTTACCTCTGCTGCCTATAACTCCTCAGGTGCCTTCTCATGAAGACATCACCTGCTGAAAGTCTCTCTGCACATCTGGCTCCTGGTCGGACTGCCGGCAGCTTCAGTCATCCTGTTTTTGGATCATTTATTAAAATTCTTTTAAATGGAAAAAATGGTTTAATCTTTAGATAAACTTTCAGTGGAAACAGATACTAATAACAACAAGTCAGTCACCTTCAAAAGTTACTGTTCAGTATTACCTTCAGAATGCAAATAAAGGCATAAAGGAATCATTTAAAGGAAAAGTCGCTCATATTCAGAATCCAAACTTCTGAAAGTTCTTTAATCTGAAATGATTCCATCCTGTTCAATAAATGATCAGTGTTTTTAATTCAGAGTCATTTTCATGTGAATGTGCTTTACTGGAGGCATCCATGTTTGTCAAAGAACACTACTGCCACCTACTGGTTAGTGACATTGTCACGGTGCGGTATCGGCTGTTGATCAAGTCCCAGTGCTGTATCTGGTGTTTGTCACAACGCGCTATTATCCAAGTCATCTTGAAAACATTCTTCTTCCAAATGTTGGCTACATATTACGGGTTTTTTCTCTGGCCAGAAGTTCGATGGCAAATCCGCGAATATTATTGTTCTTATTTTTATTCTTTTCTGATTAAACACTAAATTCATGAAATCACTGCGAACGTTTTAGTTTCAGGTACAAATAATCATCAGTTGATTATTCCTTGCTGACTTTTCCCAGATAGTTGAAAATATCATGTCTGCATTTTTCAGCCGGCTGCAGATTTTTAGATTGATTTTTTTTCCCTCTGTTTTCTAAAACCATCCCTCCTTTTATTAACGATTCTAAAAGCTCCAATAGTGCCGCCAGCAGGTGGTGACAATGTTCAACTAACTATTGTATAATGCAAAAAGAAGAAAATCCTGAACCTGATAAAAAATAAATCATAATAATCACCTTGGAAGAAAAAAAGCTTTAAAAAAACAGACGCCAAAAGTGTTTTTATCTGCTTTTCCATGTATATGAACTCGATAAACGTCTAATTTTTAATCTGGACCTCTGTTCCCACGGGGAATTATCTTCAGCTGTCCTGTTAGCATCAAAATTAGATCAGAAAACCAGATTTGCAGCCTCCACCTTAAATCATTCCCTAGTTTCTCTACCAGGTCGCTGAAATTTCTCCACAGCCTTAAACTCATGAAACCCTGAAAAGGCAGAACTCTGGATCCAAATCAGAGAAAATTACAATTCTATGAACAAATCAAAGTTTTAATGTTAAAATCTGAATTTTCAGATTTAAAAGAGAAGTCGGCATCTGGTTAAAGTCAGTGCTGAGAAAAAAAAAACGACAACTGAGATTAAAACCAGAATCATGAAAAGAGAAAAACTTTCTTCAGACTGAATTTAGAGAAGAAGAAAACTGGTCTGACCTCCTTCCTCGATCCGAGCCGTCGGTAACCATGACATCCAGACCAAGAAACTCAACTGATGCGCCATTTCCAAAAGTCTCCATCTGCTTCCAAACCGACTCTGGAGCAGATCTCATCTGGACCGTCCTCCATTTGACAAAACAACTAAACCTTTTAACCTTAAACAATCAATTGATTGATTAATTGATTGATTGACTTGATTGATTTCACAGTGGAGACAGGGGCGCATTTAGGAAATGTGGGGCCCTGGGCAAAGACAGGCAGGGGCCCCTCTGAATGGAGAAGACAACACATAAAACAGACCCATTCAGATAGAGAAATGTTAATAGAATAGACATCCATTATCTGTTCTAGGTTGTGTCCCTCTCTTCTTGTCCCTTTTCTTCTTGTTTTCCTCTCTATGTTTTGTACTCAGCTGACTTTTCATGCTGTCTCTAAAGGAATGAAAGATTTTTTCCAAGCACTAAGCTCACTTAGCTGATTGCTCCTTCCTGTGTTTCCAAAAAGGCCAAAGGATTTTTATTAAAAACATAATTAATGTGCAGAAATAAGCAATAGCTGTATTAACCATACATGGAAACAGAGTTTTATGGGGCCCCTGGAACCTGGGGCCCTAGGCAGCTGCCTAGTATTGCCTGATGGTAAATGAACTTGTTAGTAAATTTTGCAGTAGAATCCTGATTTTTCAAGTCATGCTGGTTCCTGATCTTTTTTTTTGTTTGCAGCACTCGGTCTGCGCTTCATTCCTCTCTCACCATTATGGTTCACTTCCAAAAAATAAAATGTGCAGCTGCCTGAATACTTTCTGTACCAAATAAAACGATACGTTGGAAAAATTTAGCTTTAGTTAAACTGAAAATGGTTTAGATTGGATTTAATTTAAAGAATGTCCTTTTTTGTCCGTTTTAACCACTCCACCTGGAATGTCCCCGACCTGTTCAAGGAGAAATAACGTTTTAGATAAAAGCTAAGATTGAAACTCATCCTAAAACTAACCGTCCTCCAGGGATGAAAATAAACTATTTCAAATTGCATCTCTCTGTGTTCGGTTCAGTTGATCTGATAAAGCGTCGCACATTTTGATGAATTTAAATAAAGCTTTAGTTTGTTTTCCCTCAGGAGAATCTGGCTGTGCAGTTTAGGGTCCTTAATGTCTCATTTGTGAAAACGTTTTCCTACGTTGTTTTATTACAGTAAAAACTAACTGACCTGTCAGGATGTTAGTCTGGTCAGGTTGTGAAAATGAAGGAACGCCGCTGATGACGCTCAGCTAGCAGAGAGCTGGTCGATGTGTTCGGCTGCAGACTGCAGGCTAGTAGGCAGCTAATACCAGCCTGTTCATCAGAGACGAGTCAAAAATGAAACTTTCTGTGCAGAAAAGACGTGAACGTTTTTATCTTTTATATTAAAAAACATTAACTGTTGAACTCCTGACTGATCTGATTGTTATATTTTGGCAGCAGCAGAAATAAAAGGTGGATTTTCTGCTTCAGTAAACTGATGTGATGTGAAGGCATTGCTGCTGCAGATTATCATACCGTCATATCTCATGCATCTCCATAACATTTCTGCCTCTTTCATCAGTTTTTTTATATTATTTGTGTGCAAAAAGCGTTGGGAAAAAAAGAAACATAAGTGCAGAAACATTGCTGCAAGCACTGGAAAGAGCCACCCCCCCCTCCAAGACTATTATTATATTATTATTATAGTTTATCTGTCAAATGTTACAGAAAACTTGAATTATTTCCCTCTGAAACAAATAAAAGCAGTAAATGTTCAGTCCTCAGTCTACAAAACTTTTCTGTCAATCATTTCCTGTTATGAACTGGGATGAACTGGTTTTGTTTTTTTGTTTTTTTCACCTAAAAATCAAACTATTAGTTTTTGTCTAAAGTTAATCTGCGCTGTCCAAAGCTTGAGGTCTAACTGTATTTTAAGGCTTTACTGTTAATCTAAAGAAGTTTGGATGAATGTTTTTTTGTGCCGATACTGGATCGCTGCGTCATTTTACGGACATGTTCGATATATTCTGTCTGTTTCCTATTTAAATAAAGATTAAAGATGGCCTGCGATTGTACATAATAAGGGCTAATACACCAAACTGAGTGAAGATAGTATTTTGATGTTGTGCATATTTTGTAGATTTGATATGTGCGTAATAATAAACGGGATCCAATAAACAAGTTTTCTACCAATAATGATGCGATGTTGGAGTTTTCTTGTTTGAACCCACAGAAATGGACGGAAGAGGAAACTTCAGCTGTGCAGGAAAGTGGTTTTAAAGAAGTGAACATAAACCAGCGCAGATGCAGTCAGGTTGTTTTTCACACGTTGAACAATGGATGTTAGCAAAGTTCATTTGCAGAAAAAAATGTCCTGACTTCAAATCCCAAACCACTGATGCCATGCAGCATCTTTTCTTTATAGGCTCCTCTTGTCTGCTAATGGCACCCTGCTGGGATAACTGGATATAATACGTTTCTAACATTTGATTTTGGATCCTGAAGGATGTAGAGAAAATTTGATCTGCTTATAGTTTTAGCAAATTCCGTTTATTTTCCAAAGTCCAAGCAACACAGAAAAGTTTCTTTTCAACATTAGAGGTGGACAATAACTCAGACCTAAAGGCCGTTAGAGAAACCAAGTCACCAGAAAGTCATGATATTTGAATCGGTGGATTAAAGAACTAGAGCCAACAATGGGATTTGAACCAAGAACTTTAAAGCAAGGCATCGCCAGGGTCACAGAGGTCCAGCAGCTTAAAGCAGGATACAATCTCCTCATTGGACTCTGAAGGCAGAGAAACCAGAGAGAACTCCAACATGCATGAGGAGAAAATAAAACAGAGAAAAACTCAGACCAGGAACTGAATTCAGGATCTTCTTGCTGCAAAGCAACAGAGTAAAAACTACCAGCCTGGTTTCCTGTCTTAGTTACGCAGATCTTCAGTGATTAGATTGTTTCACAAGCTTTGGATCATGAAGAAATTGGCTGCAACATTATTCTGGGATTTATTCTTTGCAAAATTATCAAACAAATAATCAGAAGTTGCATTTTCTATTCCATAGGTGCTTATTTACAGTTAATAGAAAACGTTGACTTTTGTAAAAAAAAAACCTCAAACTTTAAGCAGTAAAATATAGAAAATATCATTTAAACGTCGCCGTTATGATGAAAAATATTTGTTTCAAAAAGTTTCAACAGGATCCGAAAGTAAAACTTCAAAATCTTTAAATTTGGCCAAAACTTTAGACAGTTTGTCAAAAACTGTAGTTATGCTAAATAAAATTTAAGAAAAACAATTTAAGGATTTGTCGCCATCCAGTGGCTAAAACATAGCATGTCACCCTCTAAAATATCTGTTTTATATTTCCTGTCATGAGTTAAAAAACAACAGAAAAAAACTTGTATCTTAGAATATTTCAGGATTAAGGCGCTAAGAATGAAACATTTTTATTAACGCCAATTCACATCAAGTCATCTCAGGTCACTTTCCAGTTCACCAGATCATCCAGTCAGATTGATTCAAAGTTTTCTATCTAAGGAAAACCAGCTGATTGCATC